TGAGGTGTATTGACACTTCTCAGGTGACAAACTGCTCTGTGATCGTGTATAGTAGTGAGGTGTATTGACACTTCTCAGGTGACAAACTGCTCTGTGATCGTGTATAGTAGTGAGGTGTATTGACACTTCTCAGGTGACAAACTGCTCTGTGATCGTGTATAGTAATGAGGTGTATTGACACTTCTCAGGTGACAAACTATTCTGTCATCGTGTGTAGTAGTGAGGTGTATTGACACTTCTCAGGTGACAAACTATTCTGTGATCGTGTATACTAGTGAGGTGTGTTGACACTTCTCAAGTAACGAACCACTTTGTTGCACTATTAAGATAATCAGTTGACAAAGGTACTGCTTAGACGAGATGGAGATTTGTTTAAGTAAGAATGTGAGACGTGGCACTGTGTTTATTTAATGAGGTGTCAGTGACATCGCTCAGCTGACGAAATATCTCTAACGTTTTTTAGGTGTCGTGTAATCAAATCCAAGTTAAAAACTTGCAAAGCAGATGTGATCTCGTCGAGTTTAAAGTTTCAAATGGGTACTTGTCCTAATGAACGATTATTTATATTTATAAGGTCAGGATATTTTTAACAGAACCACTACTGCCCTCAAGTGAAATGAATTTCAAACTATAACACAATACAGACAAATAATGACGTCAGACCTATTAGGAAGGAGATCACTCTCTCGAGAAGGAAACTAAATGGAAGAACGTTCATATATGCATATCATTTTATTCGCTGAAGTTAAGCATTGGTATAATAGAGTCGATGATCAAAATATGATTTCATGCTCTTAAAAATAAATAAATAAATGATTTTAAAGGTTATGTCAGAGTTTACAGTTCTTACCTACATAAAGCTTAATTAACTACCCCTTAACTGTCTTCGTCAGAAATGTAAGAACAGTTTAGGTTAAGGATACAGAGAGGGGGGGGGAAGGATGAAAACGATTTGATGAACATACGGGTAGGTTGGAGAGAACGCCATCTTCGTTCTTTCGTACATTGTAGTTATAAATATTAACTAGACTTTATTTCCTGTATTTCGGATCACTAATGTTTCTGGATACCTAGATGGCGTTGGTTGAACATTTACTTTGAGTAGTATTGTTTGTTTGTTTTTAATTATGCACAAAGTTACAAAAGGGCTATCTGTGCTCTGCCCACCACGGGTATCGAAACCCGGTTTCTAGCGTTGTAAGTCCGCTGTGCCACTGGGTGGCGTTTGAGCAGTAAATATTATAGTTAAGATTAGTTTATGAAATATATAATGTACCGTAGCAATAAAGATAGTATTTTTGGTTTTTGTATATAATGCTTGATTAGGTATGTAAGGAGAATATAGAAGTTTTTTTTGTGTTTTTTTCAAGTTGGTGTTCCCCTGGTGGTTAATACGAAAACTAGACCTGTTTTTAACAGTAAATTTATAATTTTATTGCAAAGTCTTAATATCAACTTTCGTAAATTGTTCAAAAGATAATGTATTATTCGAGTCCAATAAACTTCTATAGTGAATTTTATTCCAAATTCTTCTTACCTGGTGAAGTAGCTCAAGGCATTCTGTATAGTTCGTCCACTCGCCCCATAACCAATCACCGTTTTCGTTACAATAACGGTAAGCGTAAGCTATAGACGAAAAGAAAATACATCTGCTACAGGGACCCACAAAAGTCAATTAAATTATCACGATATGATGGGAACGATAAGTTTTCTTTTTTAAAAACCACAAAGCTACGCAATGAGCTATTTACGCTTCGCCCAAACTAAGAATCAAACCCCGAATTTTAGCGTCATATGCCCTCGAGCTTTTCGCTGAGCCACCGAAAGGTGGTCACGTTAAAATAAATATGTTTATCTAATGTTTTTTTAGTTGATATTTGCCAAGTAAAAATAAAAACTTACAGGTTATGGCCTTCTAGCCACAGTTACTAAAATCACCTGATAAAAAAGAGTGAGAATTTACCAAATATCAGATGATCATAGAAGACGAATATTGGAGAAAAATATCAGCTAATCAGAGGAGAAGAATCCTGCCAAAAATCAGCTGTCCGGAGGGGAAAAGTACTGCTAAAAATCAGATGATCAGAGGAGAAGAATCCTGCCCAAAATCAGCTGATCAGAAGAGAAGAATTCTGCCCAAAATCAGCTGATCAGAGGAGAAGAATCCTGCCCAAAATCAGCTGATCAGAGGAGAAGAATCCTGGCAAAAATCAGGTGTCCGGAGGGGAAAAGTACTGCCAAATATCAGTTGAGCTCAGGAAAAGAATCCTGCCAAAAATCAGGTGTCCGGAGGGGAAAAGTACTGCCAAATATCGGATGATCAAAGGAGAAGAATCCTGTCAAATATCAGGTTAGCTCAGGAAAAGAATCCTGCCAAAAATCAGGTGTCCGGAGGGGAAAAGTACTGCCAAATATCAGATGATCAAAGGAGAAGAATCCTGCCAAATATCAGCTGATCAGAGGGGGAAAGTACTGCCAAAAATCAGCTGATCAGAGGAGAAGAATCCTGCCAAAAATTAGCTGTCCGCAGGGGAAAAGTACTGCCAAATATCAGATGATTTAAAGAGAAGAATCCTGCCAAAAATCAGCTGTCCGGAGGGAAAAGTACTGCCAAATATCAGATGAGCTAAGGAGAAGAATCCTGCCAAAAATCAGCTGTCCGGAGGGGAAAATACTGCCAAATATCAGATGAGCTCAGGAGAAGAATCCTGCCAAATATCAGATGATCAGAGGAGAAGAATCCTGCCAAAAATCAGCTGATCAAAGGAGAAGAATCCTGCCAAATATCAGATGATCAGAGGAGAAGAATACCGCCAAATATCAGATGAGCTAAGGAGAAGAATCCTGCCAAAATATCAGATGAGGTAAGGAGAAGAATCCTGCCAAAAATTGGCTCATCAGTGGAGAAAAATCATATGACTGAAGAAGGAGAGTAGTTCCAATATACGGGATTTTTTTATAAATTTAAAGTATGTTAGTCTCTGCCGTTTAAACCATAGATTTTATAAACAGAGAATGTATCATTAAGTAAATTAAATATTTCTTGTAAATAAAGTTTATTATCACTAGAGCTTATAAACCCCTCAACCAACTTTCATTTGTCCACCTCTAACACTTTCTCATATATATTTAATATATTTTAAATTGTTCTATGTATTAATCTTCCATTTTAATATTTCATTTAAGTTATAACGAAGTATTAGAATTACAGACAGTCACTTAACAACAGTATGTTTTAATAGCATAAACATGTCTTCGTAATGCAACCTAATAACAATGTTTTAAATGATAGTCCTTACAATAACTGTATATTTTAACAGTTTAAACATGGCTTTGTTATACAGATTCAACAATAGTTTTCTTATGCAACTCTAATAATGATAATATTGTTTAAATATAAAACAGGCGTGAAAAACTCTTAAAATTATTGGTACTATTTCATACCTTTTTCCATCGTCCTCACATTTATAGGAACGTGATTGTGTGTAAATATTTCGGAACATGATCGTAAAGCCATTTCTCCGGCAGGTGTCGCTGGCCAGCAATAAAAAGAATCCCAGATCGCTTCACAGAAGACACCTGTTAGAAAAGAGAAAGAAAAAATTTGATTTATTTTTATTTTATTTTTAGTGATATTATAAAACTGAAGAACAAGAAACGTTCGTACGTATACAAGTTAACAGTTTGTACCGTTAGAGTGCGTTTTTAAAGGGGTGGTTTGTACAGTTTCTAAGAGTGTATAAATGTAAAGCATTCTATACGTGTAAAATAGCGAATATTTATAACACTTGTTAACAGCTGATGTATGAACTTATTATAAAAATATCTTTGTCAACAAATCTAAAATGTCGTATCTTTAAAGAGCTACAAATGGTTTCAGCAAGTTCAGGGTTCTATACCTGCACATTCTTTTGAAATGTCCATCTCTAAGGAAATTTGCATAATGTATATGATTTTAATTATTATTTTATAGATTAATTTTCTATAGAAATATTTACTTTTAATAAGACATGTTAAAGCCAGAAATTTCGAGATTTAAAAAACATATTAGAAAAAAAATCGTATAGAAATGTTTACCTTGCTTTAAAAGTTTAAAGATTCTTCGAACTGTAACCTTATAACGAAAAGATTTATTAAATACATAAAAAACTATCATTCACACAACGTTTTTTTTTTTCAGCCACGTTGGGCTACCTGCTGTGTCCAATGTAGGGAATCAAACCTCGGATTTCAGCGTTGTACGTCCGTAGACTTACAGCTTCTCCACCAGGAGACATCACGTTCAGAACTCCGGTATCTTCGAATGTGAAACACGAGAGTTTCATTGGTAAAATGTCTTTAGTAATCTGTAATGGATATTTGAATGGGACGCGGACATTTTTTTATTGGATATTTCGTTGCCATCTCATAGGACAACTTGTGACGTGTGCATTCTTGTTACGTCATTTTTGTGAGATGGCAGTTTTTTTGTTACGAATATTGATTTTGTGACAAGTAGTTTTGTAAGTATAAAACTGACTGGCAATAACAATATCGACTGGCAACAACAATATAAAATGATAATAGATCCCCATTTGGGGAACATTCAAAAATGTCATAACGCTATGAGGGTGAGAGGTCGTCTAAGCCTCTTTTACGATGTGTTACGGGTGGTTAGTGGGTGTCATGAACAGCGTTACATAAAACATAAATTACAGTAAAAACGGTTTAGGTCGACAAAAATATTTATTGTAATTTAGCATACTTTGACTTGGATCCAAAACTCCTTTAATAACTTGAACATTTGAAAATATAACACGTGTATCATAGTAGTGTATCTAGTAACAACATTCACCAATCACAAAAAAACACTTCTAACAAAACTTTTTGTAACGATGTAATGGTAACTTGGATGTCGTAACGAAACGTCCCAGACTCTAGGACTCGTATAGTCACATAGAAATACGTTATGTTAGCTAACTAAAAGACAAAATGCGTTACTGTTTCAAAAACACCGAAATATTTAAATAGCTTTTTAATGACATAAGAAAATAGTTTTTTATTAAGTAGATAAATGATGGTAGAAATATCCTTTGTCCATCCTTCAAATTGCATCTAAATTTTACAATGAGCGCGTCTAGTTTATAAAGCTATGCAGGCTACACTGTGCAGGAGTGTAGCCGATGGGGAGAAGAGCCTACAAAACTTGGAGGTCCACTACTTTCTGATGTTTTTAAATAAACACTTGACTTTCAGAAAAGTCGCTTAAATTATTTGTATGGAAGAAAAACTACACGTCTTTGTTTGTTTGTTGTTAAGCACAAAGCTACACAATAGGCTATTTGTGTTGTGCCCATCACGGGTATCGAAACCCGGTTTTTAGCGTTATAAGCTTTCATACTCTCTAGTGCTGACTACTCCCCTGCTCTGTAGTAATATATCATTGTTATAACACATAGTATTGTTTATATATTCCTTTGTAAACAGGTTAATATCGTTTGTCAATGAATGATTTGTTGATTATTTCTTAACCCTAACATCATTGTTGAATAAATAAAACATCACAGGCAGTTTTATAATTTAACGAATGTTCTAATATCAAATGGTTTTATTTACTAGCCCTGAAGAAGCCGCAAAGGCGAAATGTCGGTTAAAATATAGGTTCTCTTGTAGTTATCTTGAAGTGTAAAGGTCGTTTTTTTTTCTAACATTGTTATCAAAATTAAGAAAAAACCGCCATAGTTCGTTAAACGTGACTATTTATATAGGTCGGACGTTGGTTTTAACATCTACTAAGTTTTAGTGATTGTTTTTGAAACAATACAGTTTTTGTTAGCATGACCTTTCGATTAAAATTATTATTTTTTTTTTCGATCTAAAAAATATGGTGTCGCTTCTTTAGTATTCTTTCGTAGACATGCACACTCGTAGTCTCCTAGCCATCTGAACATCTCAGTTGCATGTCTTTCACTAAACCTTCACTGCTCAAGGTCTTGATCTATAGACCACTTAATACAGAAGAGCAGAAAAAATAAAATAACAGGGTTAACTTTTTTAAACCACGACTGGAAAGTAGAAGGGCCCTGAGAAGAAATTCCAAATGTACGTCCAAGGGTGTTCGCTCATAGGAGCTTAGCCCTCCCCACCCACTCCTGATGGTTCGCACGTGGATTAATTAGAAACCGTAAAATTATCCTTCAAAAACTATACGTTGTAACATCGAAACATGTAGAGTCGTCAACTTTTTGAAGGCCATAGATAGGCCTAAATAAAATGTTTTTAACTGTGTAACGTCGAAACATGTAGAGTCGTCAACTTTTTGAAGGCCATAGATAGGCCTAAATAAAATGTTTTTAACTGTGTAACGTCGAAACATGTAGAGTTGTCAACTTTTTGAAGGCCATAGATAGGCCTAAATAAAATGTTTTTAACTGTGTAACGTCGAAACATGTAGAGT